CCTTAACAGCAACCCAGATTAGTGAGAATCATTGCCTTTCTGGATTCTGTGTTAGATCAGTCACTTACTTTCCAGTTTACCACAGCAGTCTTTTTGTGCTTTGGTTCAGATGAGTGCGCGTCTTAGCCTGCAGGATATCGTTAGAAGCGCTTGGAGACCAGCCAGGCCTTCGGACAGCCTTTAGTCTGCAATTTCCCAAGTGCACATGCTCCCAAGACAGCTAAGATCTGAAAAAAAACCCAAATTTCAACCTTGGATTTCCATCATTCCTAAAGGCTCAAGCCCCAACATGACAGGGTGACACTCGACCCTGCCTTTCTTGCAAGAGAAGTTGCGCAGCTCTGCGGTTGTAGAGTCTCTGCGTGGTGCAGGCTTCATCTCTTGGACTGACGGTATCCGGACAAGCCCAGCAGCTGGTGGGTCAGGTTCGGCAGTTCAGCCCAGCCAGCAAAAAGGGAGCTGTGCCGACCAGATGTCAAGGTTGACGGGTTGCCGGTGGGCTATCTATGCTCTCTGCTGAACTGTTGCGGCATGTCGGTGTGTAATGGTTGAGCCCAACCAGAGCGAATAAAGCCGATACCCTTTGGCTAAGCCTTGTACGGTATGGCATAGCCTCACACGGTGGAGATTGAGCACATCATACTTTTGAAACACGTGTTGTTGACATAAGATCTGAGAAGTGCAGTGCAAGAATTGGGAAGATGAAAGCGACAAACATAATCCGTTGGTGAGCCTGGCTGTCCAAAGGTCACAATTCTATAGTGAAGTAAGTTTTCATGTGCCATGAACACTCTTGACATGGTTACACCTGCATTGCATCGTGGGGCCTGTTAATGACTCGAGCTGAAAAGGATTGCCCACAGCAGCAAGAGACGCACGCGCCTGCACTGAGCCTCACATGCATCTATGCAGCTCGCTGCCTGCGAGGAATTTAGTTTCTGCACATTGCACCTTCCTTGCAGAACAGGGATTTGCGCCAGAAGCAAAAGCTCCGCCTGGCCCTACTGGAACCAAACAAAAAAGCAGCAAACACGCTTCCCAAACCGTCTCTGGCGCCTTGTGCAGCCAAAAACGACTTGGAGGTGGGCAGTGCATGCAAACTTCACGAATATCACTAGCATGTGCGATTTGTCTCAGGTGATGTCTGGCAATCTCTCTGCTGAAGAGGCCTTGAAAGTGCCTTGAAAGTGCTGTAATTACTGCAGATGCGGGGACCGCGCGCCAAGGCGCAGCCAAAGGGATCAAAACAGACTGCGTCGCATTGCGTCGCAATTAGCATTCATGGGCACAGATACATTCAAGAGAACATTCACCGTTCCATTGCCAAAGCTGTCATGGCTGCGGAGCCCGACAAGGGCGAAAATGGCCTGCAGGCGCGGAGGCGGTCTGACAGCGATTTGGCGGAGATTCTTGCGAACCAATGTGACTCCATGTGCTTAGTGTGGTTGCGCAGGTGGTTAGTGTGGATAAGTTCCTCTACAAGGATGGCGTGTATGCTTTTTCTGCCGAGCGCGTCGAGCATGCGAAGAAGCTATGTTTCGAGAGGCCCAGATGCTTGATACGTCTTTGTGCGGGTTTGAACTTTTGCCCTGTCTGATGCTGCTATAATTGTGGTGCTTCTACCGTGCATCTCAGGTTAAGCCACCTTGTCCACAGCGGCAGGTGCCAGAGGCATCTTGTGGCAAGTGTTTTGTGTTTATTGACAGCTGTGCTTCATGTTCCTTCTGACGATTTCTGAAGGATCATCTGCACCTGTGGATGCCCTGGAGCTTGGCGCCAAGACTGACCTTAAAAAGTTTGCATTTCAGTACTTTAGAACAGTATGCTTTCAAACTTAGTCCAGGTGCTTGCCAATAAACTTCCCTTTTCCAAATTTGGGGCGTGTGGCAACCTCCCTACCCTATCCCCTCTGGTCTTGCCAGGATGCCTGCTGCCGCTTTTAGAAGACGTGCCCCTCTTGGCTTTATGTTCCCTCGCTTAGGAAAATCAGGCGAGAGGAGGCCTCTGTAGCCTTTACATTCCTCCTTGTCCCGCCGCGCTGGCTCTGTGATGAATGCAGCATCGGCTCATCACCTCCCACCACTCTGTCAGGCTTTCTGCGTGAGGGTTCACGGCTGCGCCAATGTTGCGGCTCCAGTATCGGCTCCTGCTCTAGACGAGTACAGGATCCTGCTTGGAGGTCCATTGTCGTGGGAGTGCCTCACTCAAAGTCGGCCACAGCTGTGAAAGGCCAGGAGGCATGCTGCAGCATGACTTCCAATCAAATTGCCAATTTCATCCTTCAGGTAAACAGATGTTATGTCCTGAGCGTCCTGGTCTGTCACCAACATTTTGTTGCATCCGGAGCCCAGGCCGGTAAGAGCACCTGGATCGCTGTGAATGGACCGGCAGAGTCAGAGACAGCGGTATTCTTTGACGACTTGCTGCAGCTGGCCTCATGATGGCGGAATCTCAATGATTGGCATGCGCGTTTCCAGCTAAGATACACTCCAAGACATCGCTCACAGTTTCTGCAGAATCTCGAAAAATACGAGATTGCGGTTCCAGTCGAGATCGTGGCTATTGATCCTTGGCACGCAGCACCTCTAAACCAGAAACAAAATGCAGCGTATGATGATGGCAAGTCAGCATGTCCGCAAAGAACCCAGGAAAGAGACTTTGAAGCAGCGCTTGCTTCCAACTTGGAAAGAGTGGCAGATCGACAGGCTCAACGCATGACGTTCTGTGAAGATACGTGAAGTAAATGAATCGCGATACAGAATGTCAAGCTCGGCACATGTCAGGTACCGATTGAAGCCATGCAGAAATTCAGAGACAGCTACGTCAGACCTGGCTACTCAGCGGACATGCATACGTGCAGTGCATGAGCGAGGGGATATAAGCTTGGCTTCCCTTATTTGTCAGTCTTGCCAAAGAAGTTTCATTGCCGCTGAGGTGACAACGAAGGCTTTTGTCGAGTGAGAGTCTTCTGCAACTCATATGTAGACCAGACAGGGCTTGGGGGCTTCAGTCTCGAGCTGGATTTCCCGGCGTCACATCCCAGCGGAGACCAAAGATGCTGGTGCCGCGCACGCCTTCTGTTGCATTCCGCACGCCAGAAATACACGAGGGAGACATGATCTTCCGAGGGGGATCCGAGCTAGCTGAAGTCAACCCATGCTTGTCATTTTGGGATCCTTGGGGTGTGTTGCTTTGTATGCAGGCAGAGGCCTTGCGCCAGATGCAAGAAGAAGCCAGCTGGGCTCTGAGAGTCTGAGAGACTTGCTGCACACTTTTGCAACTACTTTGAGTATGTAAAAGCAGGGCAGAATTATGTTGATGGCACAGCATCCTGTTGAGGTAGCAACTTGCCTGATCGGCGCAGCGAAGGAGTGGCTTTAGAGGGATTTCCAGATGGGCTGCAACAAGACCCTTTGCTATACGTAGATATGTGAAGAGGCGATCCAAATTGGCTGGCAAACGGCGCGCAAGTGGAGCTGCACAGCTTGCAGAAGGCCCAGGCACGCGAGGCTCAGTGCTGGACGTGCGCATGGTATGGCATCATCTACCTAGTCCAGGCCTTGAACGGTCAACGCGGTGCGATCGTTGGTCGCAGCCCCGTAGTTTGAACTTCACAGAGGGCAGAGCTGCTGTTCCATGCTATAGGTTTTGACGACAAGCAGCTCAGATATCGTCCGCCCGGCTTGTACGTAGTGAGACATCCCGAAAGCAGGCTAGCTTGAGTTGCGTTTTGCTTCAACTTGCTGGCTGACTGACTGACTGTTGCATTTACTCCTTCTCTCTCTCTCTCTCTCTCTCTCTCTCTCTCTCGTTGTGTCAGTCAGTCTTTCACCCACTCTGTTTAACGCACCCTTTCCACTCACTCTCTTGATTGTCTCTCGCTTGCTCCGGTTTGCCCCCTTCTTTTGTGCGCTCGCTAATTGATAGCCTTCCTCGGACTGGGCTTGTCTCTCCCACCTACGCAGTTGTAGATTCTCCGTGTGATGGACCTCATGCTACTTCGAGGGTTCAAGATCGTGACAACTGCTTGGAGTCGTTGCAGGCTGTGCTCAATGGTACAGGCAGGCTATTAGTAGAACATGGCCGTTGCTCATAATATCTGTTCAGTCTCTGTACCGTACGGCGGCAGGGATACGAGGTAAGTAAACATGCATTTGTCCTACACTACAATGTCAACACTGGCCGTGTGAGAATTGAGCTTGCAGAGCTACTTCTGGAAGACAGGCGTGAAGCTCCACTCCGATGCAACAACCAAGGCCTTTCCCCTGTTTCGCTTGGGTGACTATGACGCTGCAATGCGTGAACAACATATCTTTACATGTAGCAAACCATGCAGGATGGCATTCCCACACTTCCGCAAAGATAGCTCAATTCCACTTCAAGAGTTGAACATCATTGGCAGCTGCAGGTGGTTGCCAAGAAAAATCTCCGCTTGCTGACCCTCGAGGACGGCCCTTGTTTTTCAGGAAGGGACAAAAAGAGTTCATACCTTGCACCGAACCACGCGTAAACAGTGTTTTCCGAGGTTGCTCATAATTCTGGTGAGTTTCTGTGATAACGAGGATGACGATGGAGTAAGGCATCTCGCCTTTGGTTTTGGCCACCTTGCTTCGCAAGCCTTTTGAAGGAGATCTATCGCTACAAGCGAATAGTTTAATTTTATGAGCTTTTCCGCGCAGCTTAAATCTGACTTTAGACGGGGCTTGAGCTAGAGCTGCTAGTCAGTTTCTCCAGCCGCTTTTGTCGTTCCGTTATGGGGCCAAAGGGCTGCAGTGAGCGTGCTCGCATCATAGGATCTGCAGCCCGCACCAGCACCTCCCGTTGGTGCCTCAGATCTGTCGACTTTCTGCGGCCCTTCGCCTCTTCGCTTAATTCATCTTAACTTGGATATCCCTTGTGAGCGATGCCACTGCACCATAGCCAAGATGTTATCAAACATCTTGCTTTGTTGGGCCCCTTTTTGCCATCAAGGGAGTACCACAAAGGGGACGGGATGTTGTGCTGTTTGAGGGCAGCTTTCAGGACTTGTCACATTCCTTCCTGGTATTGGCAAAGGCTTCTTTTGGCTCAGGCTTCCGCAAGGCTTCTGAAAGCAAATGGTTTGCAGCATGCCCAATGCGCCTGCAAAAGCGAAGTCGCAGCCAGATGACTGGTCGTTATCCTGGGCGGAACTGCAGGAAATATTTGATGCATGCGAGCAGCGGGGATTCAGATGTGGCAATTTTCGTAGATTTGTTGAGACAGGTACTTTTCTGGGTCAGACGGTTGTTGCCCTTGCGGCGCATTTCGATGAGTTGCATACAATCGAGTTGGACAACGACTGCTATGAAGCAGCAAAGCTTGCATCATGGAAGGCGGTACGCCCTGTGCACTTTCATTTGGGACATTCTGCTCTGGTCCTGGAGAAGATCTTGCCGGGCTTAGCTGGACCAGCTGTCTTTTACCTAGATGCACACTACTCCGGCTCCGTGACGGCTGGCCGTTTCTTGGAAGTTCCACTCCTGGAAGAGCTGGTTGTCTTGGACCGCTATTTTTTACATGCTGGCCTCGTAGTCGTTGATGACATGGACCTGTTTAGCAAAGTGAACTCCTTTGAGGTGGTGAATGGAAAAACTGGCAAAAGCTCTGCGCCTTACGCATCTGACTGGCGTTCCATTACATGTGAAACAATCTGTAAATGTTTTCCTCCTGACAGGATTCAGTGCAGTTTTCCTACTCCGGCAGGGAGTCGGTATATTCTATGTCTAAAAGCTGCTGCCGGTGGCAAGGACAATGAATCCCAGCCACGCGATGCGTCTGGCAAAATCATTGGCGCAGTTTGTCCAGACCTTGCGTGCAGATTAGCAGACCGCGGCGCGACGCACTGGTTGTCTGTCCCAGGCCACCCGCTGAACCAGACAGGTATCAGGAGTTTGCGACGTCAAGGAACTTGGTGGTGCCGTATTGCTGATGCAATGGAGAGGGAGCGTGCGGCTAAGTCAGAGACTTGCGTATCATGTCAATGTGAGTCATACAGCAAGATCCTACATACACCAGCACACTTTCTCATAGGAAGACGTTTTTCCAAGTTAGAAAAACATTCGACTGAGGCATCGCAACACCCTAGGAAGCTCATCGATGGAGTTTAACAAGATTGTCAAGCAGATGGACGTTGAAAGGAGTGAGCTTGTTCCGCCGCCTTTAGAGTTCATGCAAACGCAGAAGTTAGCCTCCCAGTCGCAAGTTTGATCCCCATGAACTGGGAGTCGAAACCTGAGGAGCAGGGCATCACAGATTTGCGCGAAGTCCGTTGATGTGAAGCTCACGCGCCAGCAAGCAGTAAACATGCACGATGATTTCTTGGAGGCCAGCTCCTGCAGTGTGCTACATGTCTAGACATGGTGAAAACACTGATCCACTGATCAGAATGTGCTGGGAGGTGTACATGGATGATGGCTTCCAAAAGACGATGGAAGAGGCTTGGAAGGCAGCAGGCAACAGCAAGGCGAACCAGCAGAAAGCCAAGCGAGACGTGTGCCTCCCTCTCCAAATCCCCATTGTTGCCAAGTATGGTTTTGAACCCACGGAAAGGGGCGTCTTTGCCTGTCTGTGGTCTGTCCGCACGACTTTCTTCAACTTCAACACGGCTGAAAACACGGACGCGGGCTGAGTCAAGCATTGTCGACTTCACCAGCTTCGGAATATGATCCCTACATAATATGTTTGTATTTACCCCAGTAAGCTGATGTAGGAGCGGCCTGAGGGCCTAAGGACATCAGGCTTGTAACAAGGGTTGGGCGGCCCTCTAAGGGCTTGTACCAGAGGGTGGGTTCCGCAATTTCTTAGTCCGCGCTCCAATGGTCTGAAACAACACTTAAGGAGGAAAAGCGGCAGCAAAATCCAGCAGGGAAGTGCCAGTTCCTCCGAAGCAACAAGCTCGCAAACAAGTGCTTCTGATTGGAATCATGGCCAGTGGGTCCTGGGCAAACAAGCTGCTCGGTCTTTGCCGCGCCAGCTCCAGAGGCTTGTAGGAGGTAGGGCCAAGTTCCATGTGTGATCACATGAGAATGTCAGGGCCATGAGGCTTGCAAGGTTGCCGCAACAAGGGCTTGCAAAAGCGGACGAGGTCCTACAACAAGCGGGTGACTTCCATTCTCTCTCATGTCAACGAAGTCACATGCTCCAATTCCGTTTGCCGGCATACCCATAGAGTTACAGAGTTCTGCCATTCTTGTGAAGACAGAAATCGAAGCACCGTGTGCCAGGCGATGTTTTGAAGCACTTACGAGATGTTTCCGTTGTCGCCTAGGACGCGGAGCTGGCACTGAAAGCCGCCATGATGAATTTCCTGGTGACACCTGGAGAAGTACTCTCACCTGAGTTGGCTGAGGTGTTTTTGCCTCACTGTAGCACTGAAGCCGTGCGGCAACGAGTTCGATTGTTTCTGCGGACTTCAATGTGAAGCACTGCATTCAAGTGAAGCACTTCTGACAGCTCATCTCATCCGCACACCTGCTGCCGCAGCTAGCAGCTACACTGGTGAAGAGTATGCCTTCCGCATGGACGAAGTCAAGTTCAATCGGTGTTCCTGACATGGTGATGCCCTTTGAGACTCACTGGACTTCGCATGTGAGCAACACATGCTGCTACCACACAAAAAAGGATGCCCGAGTGTGAAGCTTTGAGTGCAATATGGAAGCTAGTGGACACAAGCTGTGACAATTGTGGCCAAGGGAGCGCTGCAGATGATGCAGCATGGCGGATCCACAGGCAGTGGAGCTGCCGTCAGCATGTGGCTGAGTCTTCTGCGTGAGATGACATGACAGGCTTGATGCTTTGGAGGATTTCCAACAAAACTTGCAAACATAAACATGAGGTCAGCCCAGCGAAGTGGTTCCTGCAGGCTCGTCACACCAGCTAAGAGAGTGTGCTAAGATCGGCGCCCTTGTTTGCACTTCAGTGTGGATGCCGGTGAGATGCTTTGAAAGGGCACCCCAAGTGCCGGGGCAACGTCCGAGAGTATGTTGCTAAATGCCTGGACTAAAGATGCTTTCAATCTTGATTATCTTGATTTGCTGGCCATGGTGACGTTCTCTGGCTTGCACGTATGGGCAGTCTAGCACAATTTCGGCTATTGAAGCTGTGCCTGAGTGCATCCCGGTCTGGGCGGAAAGCGCGTTTAGAAACGCTTCTCGCTTCGGGTGTGACCTCTAGATCTCGATGTTCAAATGTGCTGCATACAGGCCAAAGGATCACGCGAGAAATGGTCCGTAGCCAAGAACAGGACTCGAAGGGTGCATCTGATAGGCAGTTTTTGCAGGCATTTGGCCACAAGCCTTCCGCAGATAGACTGACTTATCAGCAGGACTCTCACTAACAAATTATGAAAGCTAGCGCACCCAAACGTGATATTGAGGTTCTCAGGGCCGCAGACCGTGTCAAAGCAGATGCTGCTGCCCTGCAACAGCGCCGCGCGCTCGATATGGGGAGCAGGACGCAATTGGATTGCAATGACACTTTGAGAACTTCACGCCAAGGAATCGCTGCGCGCCGGGCAGGCGGAGGCCTGGAGCCGGGTGCTACGTGTAGCAGTAAACAGCGCATTGTTGAAGTAGACCAGAACAGGCAATGAAGCCGCCACCGCTGACATTTGCGACGTCTACCTGAGGTTGCTAAAGCTGAGCTTCCTCCAGCAATGCTTACAGCGAATTGCCGATATGCCTGAGCAGGTTGACCGCCTCCGAGGAGTCCTTTCGGGAAGTTAAGGATCTATACCAGGCCCAGAATGGTCGCGATGAGGAGCTGCGCTGCGCATGCAGTTCTGGCAGTTTGACTCACACTTTTTCTCCCTGCAAGGATTTGGAGCTGTTGGGGAATGCCGCATTGGAAAATGTCGAGGCCTAGACGAAGTGCCCAGCAGGCTCATCTCTCAACACCTGTGAGAACTCCAGGTGGTGGCCGAGCAGTACTTCGAGGTTCGATCATGGCAAGAGTATTTCCAGGACTGAGGCCCTTCCTCAAGCCATGTTGCAAGATTATGTAGATGCGATGGGCCTGAAGGACGAGGTCAATGTCACTAAGTACAGTGTCAAGAAGCATGGTGTGCATGCCTCAGAATCTTGCAAAGCGCGGCCAGCCAGCAGCTATGATTATTGCTTATCCGCAGATACTGGGCACTCTCAAGAACGAGGTGGTTGAGGTTTGGGTCCCTGGATTCTGCAGAAGTTTGCAGAATCTGATGTGAGCTGGGACATGCCCTCCGCTTCTCTATTTCCACCCCTTGCTTTGTGTTTGCCTGCCTGTATTGGGGTTGCTGTGGGTTGTTCTTTGCTTGGGTCGCTCCATAGGATGGTTTTGATGCTCTCCCAAGATGTCTTGCCTTCCCTCGCTTTCTTCAATTCTGTGTCACCTCGTATCTGCACTGGGAGATTTGCAGCGCAAACCCGGCAGGTGGGCAATGATGTGAAGGATCTCGGTCGCGGAGCGGCGACTGTTGTCCAAAGTGGTCGAGACCAGGCAAAGGTGCTGCAGAGATGCTGTGGGCTGCTGCAATAAGACTATGCAGCATGCGTACTGGTCGCGAGCCAGCCTCCCTTTTTGAAATGCAAGAAGAAGAGCAAGAGGGATCGTGCCAGATGCCGCACCTTGTTCGAGCTGCTACCGACACAATGGGGACTGTAGTGCAGCCACTGGCCCAGACTGCATGTTCGGCAACACGATCTAGTGGAACGCGGCTGCTTGTGTTGGTTGTGCGTCAAGCTGCGCTGTGAGGTCCGGAAGCGCTGCAGCTGCCTCCACCGCAGGGACGTTTGCAGCGAGGAGCAGAATGGGCAAAGGATGTAGCTTCAGGGAGGATCGCCGGAATTTTTAGCAAAACCAGCCATTAGTGTGGCGTAATTTCTGCGCAGCTCCCCTTTTTAGGAAAGCATCAAAGCGTCCAGTGAAAGAACACATGGGGCTCCAGGCCCACCATCTACATACTCTCATTGGACGTGGTGACATCCAGCATCTTGCATTCTGTTGCGTAATCCTACCTGTTACATGCAGACCCTTCTTGACAACGAAAATCTGGGCTTTAGTGTGGCTAAAGCATCCGAGGCACTGGTTCTGTGCGTTTTCGGTCTTTTGTTCTTTGCGTTCGACAGGTGAGGCCCCAAACTCCTGAACCTCGGTGAGCTTCTGGATCATCCCGCTGTGAATCACCTCGCAGGAGTCAGGAGCACATCACAACTGCTGTCCATGACACGGCAGTTTTCTCAGCTGCGCCTTGGGAAGAAACGTCTCCTTGGGGCATGGTGTCACGGCAGAGAGGTAGTTGCACCAGTGAAGCGCGCCTGGCATTTGATGGTCAAGTCCTCAGTCAAGTGCTGCTTCGCAGACTTGATGCTGTAGCCCAATTCTGAGCTCCGAGGCAACTGGCTTCATCCTTTGCGTCCTTGTGCCGCTTTTCGCCCTGAGGTCCTCCAGCACTTGCAACGACATGCCACCCTGCCTTGCACACCCCCCTGACAAAGTCCCCACATGCTGAGCTTCAACAAATCCTTGGCAAGGACCTATGCTCCACTGAATTCTGTCGTGTCAAACCTAGGCAGGGCATAGCTTATAGTGCGGCCAATCCAGCCGAAACAGCATGCAAATGGCTCCCGATAAAAAGATCAGGCATTCTCTGGCTTGGAATTTGCACCTGCTGTCCACCAAGGCGCCCAGCAGACCAGTAAGTGCATCGTAAAGATCATTTAGCATGGTGCTTGCGGTTCTGGCATGAACTGTGCAATGTAATTAGGCGCAAAATCAAGTTGTGTAGCCCGCGCATGACCAACGACAGGGGGATGAACGGACGAGCAGGGAAGGCTGCCCTGCTGCTGCTTTACCCCCTCATAACGGTTGTTGCCTCAGCCTTGTTCCAGCTTTTCACGGCATTTGCATAGCTGAGCAAATGGTCAGGTGGTTTTGCCATTGGCTCTTCATTATTGGGCAACCCACCCCGAACTCGGCCGGGATGTCAGCGACGCGTTTCGTCGACTGCCTGAGCAGTTCAGCCGACTGCCGGAGCAGCTGGAAAAGCTGTCGGGGACTTACGTGACCAAAGTGGAGGTGTCCAGTGCAATCAAAATGCCCTGTCCACGAAATGTGATCAGAACTCACTGAGGCCTGGTATAAACAGGTTGCGATGTGGCGAGACTGAAGAGAGCTGCCCTACATCCAATCCACCCAATCTGAGAGGGTCGGAGCCAGGGTCATAACGCAGGGCCTCGTTGTACAGCAGAATGGGGGATTCGGGGATACAGTCGCCCTTGTTCTCATGAGATGCCACTGAAGCGAAGCCTAGGATGACACCGAAGACGTTTATGGGCAATCTGGTTTGTCTATGCGTGCCAGTGGCAATCTCATGGCACATGTGCAATCTTCTTGGGGAGGAAGCTGAGTACTTCTCCAGCCTGTTCTTAAAGTCGAGTTTGGCAGGTGCCAGGAGGTGCTGAACTTGATACGAATCATCAACTTCTTCCCAAAATGTGCACAGCTGTACTGGCCTGTCAACAGAATCAGTACAGTCGTGGACAACTTGGAGACCAGGCTGTAAACCAGCTTGGAAGCTCTCCATCTCTGCCTTTTTTCGTCAAGACCAGCTCTCCCGAACACTCGGATACAGCTGTGGCAGTGCGCCTCAGTCGGCTGAAAACATCAAGGACTCCAATGAAGTGCGTCATCTTGACTGCACGGTTGCAAGACATACCCGTCTAGAAGCAATACAACGACGGCCTCACGTGTTCACCTGTGGACCAAGCTGGGTGGAAGATTACATGTTGGAGGCAGGTTATTTCCAAACGGAGGCTAATTCTTGGAGAGCAGAAGCCAGAAGCCTCGACAGCTTCATCTCTGTTCATCTTGTCTGCGCCAAGCCATGTTCTTGGCGATGCTCTCACAGAACCAGGCGGGCCATTCATCCGCGCCATTTGCAACCAGGTGACCTGAGCCACAGCCCTCCGTGGCAATTCACTCCAGCTAGCCACCAACCCCACGAAAGCGTGATGCCATTTCCGACGCAGCCAGCTGCTGGGTCAGAAAGGAATCCAAAAAAGCAGTTCTTCAAAGGTTCTATGAGTCTGCATAATGCGGCACGGATCCTGAAAATCCCAACGGAAACGGAAAGAGCGTCCAAGAAAGAGAGCACACTAAAAGCTTGCTAATGCCGTGCTAGCAGCTCTGTGTGTTGTCTGTCAATGGTCTTGTCTGTTATTGGTCTCGTTGCGTTGCTTATGATTTTTGTTGCCTCATCCCGGAGGCGCTGGCATTTGAAGAGGCAGGGCCTGAAGTGATCTGCCAGCAATGTGATGCAAATTTCATCTGGAACGCTGCAAAGTTGTCAAACACCAGACCATCTTGCCTTTGTGCTTTGATCCGCGCTCAAGGTAGGCCCAGGTAGGCCCCGCAAATATAGTTAGTGACGCCGGGACGCCAGCCTCCAGCATGGACAAGCTGACGAGGTTTGTGAAAGAGCAGTCCCTGCAAAGGACGGAGAACACACATAGACCAGAAGAGCTTGTGCAGTGGCTGCTGGATTTGGGCAGCAGAGGTGAGAAAGCAGCTGCCGACATGGGCTACGCCACCACAGTGGGATCTTTGGTCCACGATCGAAATGATGAGGTGGCTGCAGCAGCAGTTACAGCCTTGGGCGACATGGGGCAGGAAGGTGTGAAGTACATGGCCCAGATAGCCAGTGGCTTGAACAGAGGCCCAGAGGTGCGCCAAGCCGCGGCAACAGCCTTGGCCCAGTTTGGAAAACAAGCTGCGGCATACGAAGGCAACTTAACATCATGCCTGATCAGAGTCACAGACGAGCCAACACAAGCTGCAGTGATTGCAGCTTTAGGAGCTATAGGCGCCGAAGGTGAAGCCACAACTTTGGCAAAGTACTTGGATGACAGCTCTGCTGCCGTGGCTGCAGCAGCATGTCAGGCCTTGGGCTACCTTCCTCAGGGTGCACAGGAAGCCCCGCGCATTGCGCAAAAGCTCAAGGATCCCTCAACTCGCTTTGCAGCAGTCAGCGCGCTTGGCAAGCTCGGCGGAGGGGTCGTTCAAAAGTACATTCAAGAGATTACAGCATGCCTGAAAGACAAGGACAGCTTGACAAGGCAAGCTGCTGCAAACACTTTGGCAGCTGCGCCTGAGTCTGTGCTGAGCTCCCAGGCAGGGGCTTCGTACATTGCTACGCTTCTGAAGGACGCAGATGCGGGCATTCGCTGTTCTGCCGCCCTCAGCCTAGGCAAATTAGGTCCACAAGCTTCCTCGCATGCAACAGACGTTGCAAAGCTTCTGTCAGACAATGCCGAGGATGACTCTGAGAGTTACTTGGCCATAGGTGGAGGAAGCCTCAGGTCGCCTGCAATCCTGCGTCGCCCCAAGTGTGCTGCCCTAGCTGCTCTTGCGCTCATGAACGCCAGCAGCCACGTATCAGACATGGCCATGTGCTTGAGAGACAAAGCCTATGAGGTGAGGTTGTGCGCTTTGGAGGCATTGATGGAAATGGGTGAAGCCGCCAGCAAGCAATCTACGAGCATAATGGCCACCATGGAAGACGATGTCTACATCGTCCGATTGAAAGCCTGCCAGTGCATAGCGGCGCTGCAAGCTCAAGATGTTATGGACAATCTTCCCGATCTATTCAAAGATGAAGCGCCTTCAGTCAGAGAAGCAGCCTTGGATGCTTTAGCAACCTGTCCAGAGATTGCCAAGAAGTATTGCTCCCAGGTATTCAAGTGCCTGGAGGATGAGTACGGTGTCGTTCGCGCAGCAGCTCTGCGAGCTTTGTCGGCCATGGACTCCATTGGTCAGGGCTACGCAAGTGCTATCGCTGCGGAGCTCGGAAATCAGGATCCTCATGCTCGAGCAGCTGCCTGTGAGACGCTCGGCAAATTCGGTGATTATGGCGCAGCCTTCGCAGAGGAGATCGAAGCTTGCCAGACAGATGACGTGCCCATGGTCCGTGCTTCGGCAGCGCATGCCTTGGCACAGCTGGGCCTTTCGAGGGTGAGAGGCCTTGAGAATGGTGCCGAGTGAGCAATTGGATCAACGCATCCTGTAGTTTCCAGCGCTGACTCCCTGATGGCGTTTTCCGATGAAGCAGAAAACAGCGCTGCAAGCCTGAAGAAGCTGCCGGCGTGTTGAGTGAAGCAATGTCAAGCGGATGATGGAGTGATTGCTTCAGCACATCTTGGCCTTTGTGCCTGGCAGGTTCGAAATTGTGTGAGCAAGGCCTCTCGCAAAGTGCAGCTGCAGGCCTATGTCCCGACATTGATGTCAGTGCAACATAGGACTTGTTCAGGTGCTGACTTTAGTCGCCCTTGCACATGATCTGGTTGAGCTTGAAGTGTGAGCAAACTTCAGATAGACGCTGATGGCCGCAAGGGGCATCACACCCAGATCCATGCATCCAGCTGAGTCGTGCCGTCGTGCCCAACTCCATTCGCTCAGGCGTTTCCTGCAGGCAAATTGCGCGTTGAAGGACAATGACTTTTTGCGCTGTGGAGCGATTTTGTATGTTGAGCTTGGCTGTAGATTCAGGCTGGCGAAGTCATTCTCTCCGAGAGGCGTGGGCAAACATGCAGAGCCAAAGCAAATGACGAGTTGTCAGAGCAGGCCTCTCTTTGAAGGAAACACATTGGGTGGCAGAAGTCAGAAAGTTTATTCCGAGGCCTGGCATGCGTCGACTCGGAAATATCACTTACTTAGCGTGCCCGGAGTGAGGAATTCCTGGAGAAACAGCTGTCACCAATAAATTATGCAAAGGCCAGGACTTTTGCAATCCTGAACCTGGCAGTGGCTCATATCGGATCTGAGCTGTGATCAGGACTTTGGCATGGACGAATTGCCGGACTTTGAGGATCTCGAAGCTGCTGACATGTCCGCAATAAAAAACGTTGCAGAAGAAAGACTCGCCTGCTTTTTCGTTACCAGAAAAGGTCACTCCGCAGCGCAATGATATGCAATGATGATAAGAGCAGAAGCCTGCTGTACTGTAGCTGGTGCACAGCTATGTTGCAAAGGAGTGCTTTCACCCGCGGAGTCCGCTGATCGACTGCGTTGCAGGCGTGCGTGTCCTAGCCCACAGCGTAGGTGAGTTCAGTGTCTAGTGGGCTTTGTGTCGCGTGTGTGGAGCTGGCACTTAGGTGCTGCTTTGCAAAAAGCGAGCCCGAAACGAAGCTTTGAATCAGGACATCATTGATGTGACATCCCCGTCGATGACCTGCTAGCTCTAAAAGACTCTACTATGCAGGAGAATCGGGAAGCAGCCAAGATTCAGCTGAACAAGCTCTGCCTGAGACCCAGAGTAACTCCGGTCTTGCTTACAGTGGCCCGGCAGCCGTCAACGTTCGCGAGGCTCCCTGTGCCGAAGCCCTTCACAAGAAGAAGCTAATCATCGGGAATGCGCGCAGGAGCTCCATTGCTGCAGAGCACCAAGGTTGATATTTCCAAAAACAGGCGTCCTCCCTTGTCCCCGATGTTTCTTCATCTACATGAACTCATTGATTACAGGCTTGTCCTGCAGAAGTCAAAGGCTGGCTAGATCTAGGAAGGTTGCAGAAGGTTTGCTAACAGACGAAACACCAGATACGTGATCGAATGAAGCAGCAGGATCTTTGGGACGCACTTCAGGAGGACTTCCAGGTGGGCTGCTTAACTGTTTCAACGCTAGGATTCTGGCAAAGATGACAAGAAATGGCGAGCCTGTCCAGAACTTTCACCGTCAGGGTCTGACATCACTCGAAGAGCTCACCTACATCCTTCAAATCCTCAGCAGGCCTTCACTCATGTGAAGCCTATCCAAAAGGCATTATGAAAGCCTTGGCATTCTGATGAACAGGTCTCACCTTTGTTGTAAACTTTGCTGCATTTATTGCTCGTCTACCATATGCAATGGCTCAGCTGGGAGCCCAAGGTCAGCCAATCCTTTCTATCACGATGTGTATAGTTTTGGTGCTGTGCCCGCCAACAAATGCAACTGATTGTTGGGCTTCTTCGGTCCAGAGTTGAGTGTGAAAGTATGGCAAGGGAGTACCTACAGGCTGTGACACCTAACAGTTCAGCATCAGCGGCTTGCAGACCCTTTTTATCTGCCGTGGTGTTCTAGCGCTTTTTTCGCCTTGCCAGCAATCGCTTTGGATACAGCGAGCAGAGCATGGAGCTGATGTTCGCCGGTATCCTGCCCGCAATAGGATTGAGAGCAGTCAAGCAGTCTTGGTTGGTGGAGATTGTCATCCAGCCTGTGGCTAACAGCACATGCACTTGTAAGACATACTCGCGGCAGAACTTCAAGTTGTTCGCAGAACTCATCGCACGAAGGGTTGATGGACCAGGGATGTGGTGGGTCCCAGGGATCACAAAAGGATTTTAGGGTTTCCTCTTACGGCTTACAAGTTTACATAGGCTTGGTGTTGAGAAGCTCTTTCCATGCCAGGCTGCCATGCACACCAGCCTCCTTACAGCAGCTTCTTGCCATAGCTGTAATGGTTGAAGGGCCCAAGTACCACCGCCATGCAGAGCTGCTCCGCGTGGTACTGAAAAGGCGGCTGAAGGGTGTCCTTCGTGCAGAATCTGCCCAGCAACTCGCAGATTTTCGCTCACTGATCGGTTGCAGAACTTTGGAGGTGTTCGCGGTCGGCAAGGAGCTGTTCCTGCTATTTGGGATACGTTGGGACCCACAAAGGCGGGGGGGCGGTTTACGTTTTCATTTCGGTCATGGAGGAGGCTACTTGGTCGAGCAGAAGCCCATTCATGGTGACATTTTCCGGTGGGGCCCAAAGTCTCAAGGAGGTGGCCATTGCAAGCAGAGTTTACCTGCAGTGCTACTCGAATTTTCGGAAGCAGAGGCTGACGATGAGTCAGGTGACCAAGCTTCCCATTCCGCTGGCGTTCGTGAGCCAGCAGCTTCTCCAAATTCCAATGACAACGGTCTACGTCTTTTGCTTTGGAGCGATTTAGGAAGCTCCTTCAGCCTGGCGCCTCCAGAGTATGTTCGATCTGTGGAAGCTCGCAGCGCTTTTGACATCAATGCCAACCTCGCAAGCTTTGCACTGGCTGAAGCCGTCCATCTCTTCCGAGAGTCTGAGGAGCTTGTTGTTGACCTCATCATGGACCAGTCCCGCCTTCCAGGCGTCGGCAACATAATTAAATGCGAAGGCTTGTTTGCAGCAGGCATCTTCCCGCTCCGACGTGCCAGCGAGCTGACAGAGCACGAGTGGACAGCTTTACTCCAGGAGCTTCACAAGTTTTCAGATCTCTGGTACAAGCATTGCCAAACCAGCAACGATGGGCAGCACATGGGCTGTTGCCATTTGATGCAAGTCTATGGCCACAAGGCGTGCTCACGTTGCAGCTGCCCGGTGAGTTTAATAAAGGAAGGGCGACGGCAGCGCATAACCTATTTCTGTCCAACCTGCCAGCCTACACCAGGCTTTCAGGCATCCGTAGAGCGTGCACATCGCAATGAGCTTACTGTGATTTTGCCCACATGTGGATGTGGCAAGCTGCCAGCCCTTCTGCAGATTCGTGCTGGGAACTACGCGGGCTATGGCGATGATCGACGTCCGTATCTCTCCTGCCAGAGGCGCAGGGGGAGCAACTACGATGACGGAGGCTGTGGGATTCCTGGTCCGTGGAATGGCTGTGGCTTTCATACATGGCTGGATGAAGTTGTAAATCTTCCAAACTGCAACTGTCAAAAGCCTTCATTGCTAAGGCGAGTCATGAGTTTGAGGGAGAATGGCAGATATTTTCTTCGCTGTGCTTCTAGGATCTGCAGATTCCGTTGCTGGCTGAAGCTGACGCAAGTGGGAGCTCCTGAGGAGCCGAAAACCACGGGGCGTTGGAGGCGGCATGCTGCCTCAACTTCAGCCTTGGCTGACGGGAGTTCAAGCAACCCAGAAACGTCTTCAAGCGACAAAGATTCGCAGACTGTAGAGGAATTCAGGCTTGCTTCGCATCCTGCGCCTGCTTTGGGCAAACCCAAGCGTTGGACTGCTCGGTCAGGGTACCCGGAAAGAGGCCTGTACTCAGTTGATGCAGACTTCCTGCTCTTTGACATGCTGGCTTCAGCGCTTTGTGCTGCTTACCATGCCCAGGCAGCATGTTCGAGCACTCTTGCCTGCCGAACTGTTTCCTCGGAACGTGGCAGACCAAAGGCAGGAGCTTGAAATCAATTCCCTGCGCTTGCTTCCAGAACACAGTACCATTCATCGCATGCATCCTCTGCCCGCAGCAGATTTCAGCTTTAAGCAGACTTAGCTTGGCTGATTTTCTGCGAGGTCAGTCCTTGTATGCCGTGTGTTAGCTCTTAGCAAACGAGCAGCTAAAGCACAGGAAGTCATTTTCTGAACAGGTCCCATAGCATGTGATAGTAAGCGCTTGCGCCTTTCACGAGATGTGCTATGCCGCCGAAGGCTCGGAATGTTTCGGAGTTATGTGGGGCTTCCAGAGCAAGAGCATCTGTTGCAGGCAAAGACGGGCGCAAAAGCGGCTGCGAAACCTGCAGCTGCAAAAGCAAAGTCTGCTGCCACTTCGCCAGAACCCGTGGTGCCGGTGACATGGCTGCAATATCGAGTCAAGACTCAAAAGTTGCACCCCAGCTAGGAGCTGTTTGTATGGTTTGAGGTCAAGTCTCCCGGACCAGAGAAGCTGTCTGTGGCCTGTCCAGCAATACTCACATCAATTGCGCACCCGAAGCTGTGGTGTGATCGCTCGCTAGACACTGCAGATGCCAGGTGTTCGATGCTGAAACAAATTTGAATTTTGTCGAAGATGAAGACTGGGCTGCTCTTGCTAGCACAGAAACACCGAGCAATGCCGTGGGGAAATCGCTTGAAGCCCTGCTCACGCTCCTTGGCGATACTAACGCCGCAAGCTGGGCGACAGCAACTGCCTCGCTGGAAAAGCCTGAAGCATTAGTCCGCAGCCCAGGATCCTGCAAGTAGCTCACAGATGGTCGACCTGCAAGGGCTGCACTAGTGTCTCGTGCATGAGTGTGGGGGAAGATGCTCATGCTTGACGCATGGCTCCGCTTCTCTGCTGAGGTTCGTGAGATCCGCGCCTTGGGTCCTCTGGGCTTTGCACATCCGCAGCAGCAAAAGGCAGCGGCGCTCCTCGAAGAGGCAGATCTGGGAAGCCTGATGGCAGTCGCTCCAGTGGACGAGGCACCAAAGGCCAAAGGTGCGGCCAAAGCAAAGCCCAAAGCAAAGGCCTCCCCGGCTCCGCCTCCGCCCGGTGCGCCAGCAGCCCTAGCGCTGGCACAACTGGTCGAATCCTATGTAGCGAGGGCAGAAAGCCCTTCAAAGTTTCCAATGGAGTGGCCTGTGGTTCCATACAGAGAAGTGCATCGAAACCTGCAACATGCGTTGCATTCAGAGCAGCACGGCTTCACCATTTCAGTAAACTTCAGTGTCAAAGTCAATGCAATTGCTGAGCTAGTCGCAATTCCCAAAAGCTTTGCCGAGGCAACATGCTTGCGTCGTTTGCTGCAGCTCGCTGGCTACCAAAGCCGTCAGCCAGTACTTCGAGCTGAGTGGGGCGAAAGTGGTCAATGTGTGTCAGCTTCAGGTTCAAATGCAACTCGCAAAGGCAATGTCGCAAGACGCGGCTCGGGCAATACTTGCAGGTGGCTGGAAGGAAGCACTTGCTGGGGGATCACGCCTGGCGCTGCAGCTGGGAGCTTCACCCCCCAACTTGCGGAGATACTGCGACTCACAGATGCCAATCGAAGCCTTTGAGCTGGAAAAGCAACGTGAGGTCGTGCAGACACTCGGGCTTCAAGCAGTTGACGCACCCGGCTTCCAGATTGTTCTCTTAGTTGAGATGTCCAAGGCGAGGGCAGAGAAGATTTTGCCACAGGTACTCCCAGGCTTTGATGAGATGGCTGTCATCCTTGTTGATGATGCCTCCCTTCCTTCAAGCCACCAACTGGAGGAAGCAAGCACGAAGCCCGTGTCATTGAGATCGGCAATTGGGCTTCTCGCTGTGGAGGTGGCCAAGCCCACCCCCTCGGAAGGGGCTGCAACTACTGCTGCCTCGACGGAGGAGATGGTCGCTATCAATGATGTAGACTTTGAGTATCTGGAGAAGTTTGGAGAGGACTGGCAGGATCGTTGGCCACTGCCTCAGCGGGCTGGGACAGAAGAGACACAAGGCTAAGCTTACCCCGCATGCAGCTTTATGTTGCCCCTCGAGGCTTCTCGGCCCATCAGAGCAGGACAGAAGGTACCACAAACCGAGCTTCTGCAGGTGCCCCAGTTGACGTTACGGCAAATCTCAGCACGAGAGGACGAGAATGGGAAAGAGATACGAAAGGGTTTGATCTCTGCAAAGCTGGCTGCAGCCTGAGCTTCCTGGATTCTGAATGACATCGGGGCAGCATGGGCAGCCATTGGAGCTGAGGTGAAGTACCCTTCAAATCCCAAGGAGCTGCCGTGTCTCAGTGTTTACAAGAAATCGGACCTAGCCGTTTCTCAGGATGCGAAGAGCTGCTTGCAGCTGATGGGAGGCATGCAGTTCGTTACTCTACCAGAAACATCATCCAGTCATCCCTCGTTTGTCAAGTCGTGCCTTGTAAGCCCAGCATGTGAGGCGCCGCCAATGCACCATGCACGGGAATTTGGACTGCTTTTGCGCCGCTCATCAGGCCGACAGAGGCGGCATCGGGGAACAGTTTAGAGAGAGCGTGAGGCCAGGGAGGTCGCAACTGAACCTTGCAGGTCGAATTTGAGTTCACGGTGAATGGCAAGGTGCAGCCGGGCCCGATTTTGTAGACATTGGGCCTTGGCAAAGTCTGTCTAAGGCTCCTACCGTGCTTCGTTCTTGTCTGAAACACCTGCTTCCTTGCAGCTCTTCTCTTGCACGCCTTGACTCATATGATCAAGTCGTGACAGGGTCAGGCGCTCCGTTCTGGTGCGTACTATCTGGCTCCCTACCTTCCTGCTGCCGCCCAGCCAGAGATCGCGAGACCGGAACGGGAATAGTGGGGCAAAGCGGTGCTATTTTGACCTGCAACCCTGTCATCCAGAAAGATTTCTTCAGCTCGCAGGTTCCTGCACAGACCTGAAAAGCTTTTGTTCTCTGTTCTTTGGGCTTTGATTTTATCTTAAAGCAGCTTTCAATTTTTTGGCTTGAGATTTGGTGGGGGGCGGAATTTTGACCAGCATGCTGCATGTATGTCCAGACCCGGCAAGTTACTAGCTGCTTTGATGGTGATGGCTCGCTGTTTTGATCCCGAACCAATGTCCTTCCGCCCAGTGCAGCCCAGTAGGTTTGGTTTTGATCAATAAGGCTTCTGGGCCTGGGATGTTCTGGGCGGTTCTTTGTTGGTCATCCTCCTCAGAAGAAGGGGGGCAGACCACCGGCTGCCTGCAGCGAAAAGCATGGGCAGCAAATTTGGGACCTGCCCTTGAAAGTGTTCATACACCTGTGCCCTTAATTCCAACCAGACAAAGGCATTTTCAAACAAGCTTCACATAAACTAGAGGCATCTAGAGGCAATTGTGTTTTGCAGGGCTTGCAGCTACACTGCTGTGGCAAACACCGCGTGTATCGTCGAGGGAAACTTTACTGGCAGAGCTGTGTGTGTAGTTTACGGGTGGGATCACCCGCGGCGGTTGCGGGCGGCGTTTGCGGACGCAGCTTACGAGCGGCCTTTATGGACAGGTTTGGGGCGCAGGCATTGGCAGAGGGATTTGCGGGCGGTATGCTCTGCAATGCTGCAGGCACTGCAGGCTGGAGGCTGGTGGATGTCGGAGCGCGCTGCAGCCGAGCAACGGTACAACGAAAAAGGCAGAACAACTTGCATCCAACTCCAAGCTTGCATTCTTCAGAAACCAGGAATCCATACGCCAGAAACATATCACTCGCACCAACGCAGAAATGTTGATCTGATGGTAGCTCATGGTACGAGGTCCCTCTTGTGGAGCAGATTCCAGTAGTACCTGTGCTTTGCAGCTGATTTGTGCATAAAGGACATTCATTGTCATATGAACAACACTGGTCACCAGGTTGACATGCCAAATGCTTGCCTGGTCTTCACAGAGAAGCCCTTTGAGGCAGTGAGCTCATCAAGATGCTGCTGGCGTTTCTTACTGCTGCTAAGGGTGCCTTGCCAGATTGCAAAGTGGGCGTTCAGTTCACCGCAGGAGTCTCAGAGGGATCTCAACTTGTAGTGATGGACAACGTCGCAAGCTGGAGGTCCGGGGCGGCATGCAGCTCTGTGGAGGCGGAGGCAATTTGGCCGGAGTCTCAGAGGTTTTTGCAAAGAAGTGATGCTCATCTCTACCATGGTTCTGTTCGGGCGGCAGGTGAGGATCAGTAATGATGGGAAGATCCAAAATGATAAGTGGAACAAGGCCAGCATGTGGGCTTTGAGAGGCTAAGTTCGTCGGGAAGCAGACATGGTCGGCGTAGAAAGGTTCTCATCAAGATCGACTGGGCAGACAAGGTCGCAGTTGCGCAGGTAGACACTCGAGGCTGTCTGGCACAAACTTTAATTTCCTGCTGAAGTTATGGGCGTCAGATGCAGTTGGCACCGATGGGCAGGCAAGGGCTATGCACCAGCCATACAGACAGTGAGATCACCTGAGCTAAGTCGTGTAGGAGCAGTCTCCTGCCGCAATCTAACACGCCAAAATTCAGCCAAGGCCCTTCAGAGATTCCAGCTGCAGCGGCTTTGGAGCCTTGTTCATCTACAACACTGACACTCAGGAGCTGTGTTGCGGGGACAGACGTAGTTTATGGGCTCTGGGTGGTCAGGTAGTCTCCAAGCAGCCTTGAAATCGTGACTACAGGCAACCTGTTGGTTCAGCGAGCTTCGAGCTCCTCACCAGCAACTTGAGAATTGAATTTAGGGACTGCATTGCATTCCTCAGCTTAGTTTTCATGCGGCGCTCTGTAATCTATGAGGTCAAGCAGGACCAGCAAGACATGGCCATGACTGGCAATGTGCAAGACTCAGCGCTGCCAATTCTGGAGGATGCGTCACGCTATTTGGATATGTGTGCCGTTATTGTTAACTGCGATTCATATGTGACATGGGGCGTCATCCTCAGGATGCGCTAGACGCCCGCAGAGAGCTTGCCCAAAGGATGAAGGAAAGAGAGTGCCCCGGCATCTCTGTTCTCTGCTGCGTGTCAGGCTGATACATTTCCCGGAATCTACATATGGGTCAGCCTGATAGGTACCAGATGGCCGTAGATGCTGACATGGAGGTTGGCATGAAGATGGGTGCCATTAAGCCAGCAGCTCAGTGGCTTGGGCCCATCCAAGCAGAAACGCATCCGCCTCAGTGCCTTGCAGGTCAACAACATGCCATGGTATGAACTTGGCCATGGAACAGGCAGGAGCTGCTTTTAGAAGCTTTGCTTGCGAGTGTCCAAGCACACTCCTTGCCAAGGCCGCAAACAACTCGAGCGGTCATGCCATTGGATAGCCAGCGCGGCGAAAATCTGATGATGTCCGATAATGCTCCTGGAGAGGAGCTCAAAGCAGCTTCAGTCTCCGCCACTTACCTGATATCAAAGAAATCCTCATCATGCAATGCTGTGCAGTTTGGCTGTGTTCGCGCTGCCTTAGTCCTGTGAACTTCAGGATTTTTCCCCACGCGCCTGCGAGCGCGTGGCATCAACAACATCGTGGCAATGACATGCTAACAATGGTTTGCAAGATCACTGCTGGCGAGCCGCGTTGCAGCTGCAAAAACGGCAAATTCATTGTCAGGTTGCTTTTGTTGTATCGCTGGCGCTGCTGGATATTGTGTGTGCAACCTGCATTACTGGCAGATGGAGACGCTGGTACACGCACTTACCGTGCCCTTCGCGACATCGAAGCAGGTGAGGTCATGAGCTCAGCAGCCACTCAGCCGCTGGCTGCAGAAACATTGGGGGAGACACCTTGAAATTGTGATTCACGAGCAAGGCATTATCCATTGATTACCTGAACTTTCCAGCTGGATATTGCCCAGCAGCTGCTCGTGCCAAGGTAAAGACCTGAGCCTTCAGCGCCTCTGTTCAGTAAGAATGCCGAGTACAGTTGAACCTCAGAAATCCCAAGGCATTGCAGGGATGGGGTTTCTCCTGCACCTGCCCAAGGCGCCTACGTTCCTGCACTTGTCCTCTGGCTGACGGGGAGTTTGTCAGATTGCTGTTTTTCGTTCAGCTATCTCAATTAAATCTTCGCGTCACCAGCATGGAGCTTGTGTTCATACACTGCGGAGACTAAGTCTGTCAGTCTTGGCGAGAAGTCTATGATACCCTGGAGTGTCCTTTGACTTTGGTGCTAGTGTGCTAGCGTACAGCTCCCTTGATTTTCATGCAAAATGCGGGGTCTTTGAGATGACTGTTGACTGTCGAAATTATAGGGAAGGCGGAAGGAGCATGGCAAGCGTCCTAGTAGTGAAATTGAAGTGTTGAAATGACGCAAACGAAGGCAGAGAAAAAGGATCAACCGATAGAGAGCAGCACAAGCCAAGCAGATGCAATTCGTAGCAGAGGAAAGGGAGCCAACTCAAGGAAAATTGCTAGCAGGAACGAGAGACACTGTTCGGCAGTCGAGTGGCACTACTAGCACTGCCAACGCTGCCGCCACCATCAGGTCAGCAGCAGTGCTACCATCAAGAACAAAACCAGTGAACATAGGTGTGCCGCCCTGGCACCTACACAAGAGTATCCATGAACGGATACATTGTAATACTACGAAAGTGATGAACGTGGCAATAAAAATGTAAACGCCAACTCAAAACTACTTGCTTGAATAGCGACAACAATAATGTGTAACAAAAACACAGTTGATGGTAAACCAACAGTAGTTGCGGTGACTGTAATGACTGCTGGTAGTATCAAAGACATCAACAGTTCAAGTGCTGAGAACCACCATTGAAGCGCTGATGTAGGGCCTTTCGGAAGCCAGGCTTGGCTGGGCTTCGTGAAGAGAGGGCCCTTTGCCCATATGTGGGGATAATGGAAAAGAACATGGAAACTTCCATTGTATCTTGGGGTACATATTGTATATGGGATATACAGAGATATTCTTCCCAACAATGTGGAGCGAATGGAAAACAACGTGGAAGATGAAATAGAGACTGGAGTTACATTTAGTAGTGTAGGCTTTAGTTCTTTTCAAAATGAAAGGTCCCATTTTGCGGGTCCCAATAATAGGCACTTTAGTATATTGTGGTCCATATTATTGGGGTCCCTCTATTTATGGAAACTACCCTGCAACCCCTACATAACCCTATATAGAGTAGCTTCCATTTCATTTTCCATGTTCTTTTCCTTTTTCATTCTCCATTATTAGGGTATATTGCCCCCCCCTCCCCCCTATTCATGGAAACCAGCTTTGAGGCCAGGTTTTGATGCCGCCAGGGAGCATATATGCGGCTGATATATAGGGATAATGGAAAAGAAAATGAAACCTCTACTGTTTAATTAGGGTTTGGGGTCAAGATATGTCAAGATTGCATCTTGTATGAATGTCATTACGTGAGCAGCGGCATTCAGAATCCACATCCTCGGGGTTACGGCAGTAATGGATGGTTGCAATTGTTCTGCTTCGTAGTGGTGCATTGATGGGAGATTTGATTTGCAAAAGGCTTGTGGCAAGACGTTTAGATTGCTCGGAGTAGCAAGACACCGCCAAACAAACGACCTAGTTCAAAAGCAACGGTTTGCGGTGAGAGCATAAACAGTTGTTATAGTAACAGGCGTGCTGGTGCTGGCAGTGCAACGGTAAGTTATATCTGATGGTAAGCAATTGTCAAAGCAGTGATTTCGTTGAGCAAGAAATCCTACTAGCGCGAGATTGTCCTCCTGCTTCACTCCCTCCTTCCGAGCTTTATTCCTTCACTGCCTTCTTGCTGTTCCTCCATACCCTCCATGCGAAAGTCCAAAGCTGGTTTTAACAAGACCATTGAACGTTGTAATAGTTTGTATCTATCAAAATAGTTGCATCCAAGATATCTTCCGCTGCTTCTTGAATCTCCGTTCCGCTAGCGAATGTCCGAAGCTGCGCTTGGAACTCTTAGAAATCCTGCAAGGTGCGTGTCACTGCCAGAGGTGGAGCGTTGCTTTGTGTGTCCTGCTTGCCAATGCCTCACCGGAAATGCGCAGTTTGGGTAAGGTATCCATGTCCTCATCAGCGTAGAAGCGTAAATTGTGCAATTTGATTTTTTGAGGTGGTGAGCCCCAGTTGTGCCCTCGCCATCCAAGCAGCTCGGAGCTGCTTTGCCTGTCATGCGGCAAAGCACCCGAGGCGCACCATCGCAAGCCAGTCATGTGCCATGGACATTTGCTTCGTCCCTTGGATGGTGGTGTTGTGCAAGGAAGAGTATGCTGCACGCTGCATGGAACGAGAGGCGAGGCTGCCCTTATGTTGTGCACTGAAATCACTGAAATGTTTCTTCGCGGAGCACACTATGCAGTTTCGCCTTGCAGTGCATGCATGTCAGGCAAAGCTGGCACAAAGTGCATCGCGCAGTGGTCCAGGTATGTGGACAATGCATGGCCACCCATCTACCCCTGAGAGATATGTGTTAGCCATGATGATCATCAGCCCAGCTGGCAGGTAGTCCAGCTGCAGACGAGGATGTCTTGCAAGCAGCCCTCGGCGAGGCCGACTGCAAAATGTTCTCGAGAGAAGCACTTGCATCTGCTGAGCCCCTAGAAAGCTGGGCCATGGAAAAAAGTCACGAAAGCTAGCTCGTTCGGAGCTTACTTGTACTTCTGTTTTACGTTCTCTTTGTTTCATTGGTGCTTGGTGGACCCGCGTATGTAGGTCACAAGGAATCCAGCAAGAACTAATTCAGGTGGCTTTGGGGGGCCCCCTCCCTCAGGCCACGCTCTCATGGTGTCCCGTTGAAGAGGTTCGCTCGCTAACGGCGCAACATGATTTTGATGCTGTTGTTGCATGCTTTGCAGGCAGTGGCCAGCCCCTGGCTATTGCGAAGATACAAACCGTATGCACAACTTTGTAAGATTCCCAATTGTAGTGGCCGTTTCATGCTGCGTTTCGTTTGCCATCTAGTTCTCCATTACAAGGCCTTCGCATGCCTTTGCCAATCCTCCTCGCCCGTCAAGGAAACTAGCTTTGGGAATAGATTTGTAAGTTCCGGCTGCATCATCCGCCTGCCCCGCAAGTATGTATGGACCGCGATGCACAATTTTCGAGTTTCCAAAAAATTGAAAGTCATTGATAGGCTTCAAAGCTGGACTCCGCGCCAAACCCAATGGATACCTATGCCTTGGCAGGTGGAAGGTGACCAAGAAGAAAGCCTGCTTGGATTTCACCACTACGTGGTTTTCCAGGCGCGTCAGTAAAGGCAAGAGACTGGCCTTCACTTGAGATGTGCGGAGCCCGAGGCCTTGTGGCAAGAAGTCGAGCAGGGCTTGCCAGAACCTGCTGACCTTCCAGCCTTCCAGCAGATCCTCAAGGCTGCGGCGGCTGCGGTTGTCCTTGGATTCGGACTACTGCAGTCCACAGAGGACATCAACTTGTGGCGTGTTGCAAGCTGCGAGGCTTTCAGTTCAAACCATGGGCTCAACATCTCGAATGCAAACTACACACCACGACTAAGGGCAGTGCCGCAAATGACACAGGCCTGTCTTTGAAACGAACTCGCAGTCTCGTAGTGTTTCCGAGGCACTACTTAGCTTTCCAACCGTGCATGTCAGCATTTCTGCCATGGCAACAGCGGAAGCTCCTCATCCTGAGGACAGCATTTTCTTACTTCTCGTCAAAACAGACACAGTATGCTGTTGTGAAGATGCAGCGTTATTCCAAAGAGCTGGCCTGCGCTTCAGGACTTCTATGACTTGCTTGAAGTTGCCAGGGATGCTGGTGCAGAACAGATCAAGTACCCCACCCCAGCTGATGCCATCAAGTGCGATCTCATGCAAGGTATCGCTAAAAGGGACACGTGCAGATTTGTGGCAACGCCAGGAAAGCTTACAGAAGACAGGCGCCAAAATGGCATCCAGATAAACAAGATGCAGCCAATCGTGCCTACGCGGAGGACTGCATTGGCAGGTAGCATCAACTTAGACCTGTTCCTGCTACTGCGATTCTGTTCCTGCAGCACACATGCAGTGACAGGAGCGATTCAAGCTCATATCGGAAGCTTACCAAGTCCTGAGTGATCCAGAACAGAGAGCGGACTTCGACCGCTTTGGAAAGGTGCAAGCTGCATGCGAATCAGAAGGCGGCTTCAGCAGCACCTGGCAGGACGGTATGCGGGGCCATGGCCAAGCAGTACCAGCCTCAGCTATGGAGGGGCACAAGTCGTTGGAGCTTCAAAAGTTGATCAGCGCCAGGAAAGCAGTGGCTTCAACATGGATGGATTTGCGCCCTTTGCGAACTTTGGAGGGGGAGGCAGCTTGCACTCACTGCATGCTTATCGGGTCTTATTGATATCAATGCATTATTGTTATTGCTCGTTTTATTACTATGAGAGTATTGAAGACTTGTGGAAGGCTTCGGTGGCTTTGGTGGTCCTGGCACCTCAGGTGCCCTAAACGTGAAAATGGAGATTTTTCGTTGAACATGTCCATCCTCATCTTCTTCCACTTGGTAGATTGGATGGTACTGCTCGAGGCATCCGTGTCGTGTTTACGAGCACTGGTCCAGATGGTATCAGGCCAGATCTGCCTCTCAGGATTCTCAGGGAAAAGACATTTCTGGTCAGGTATACAGAAACACGGACAAGTGATGATGGTGCCGGATTCGGAGGTTTCCGTCGTCAGAACCTCAGGTACTGACGAGTCACGCATGCGGTGTGCCAAGACGGCCAACAAGGATCCCACGTGGATCCCTTCGACCTCTTCCGCGAGCTCTTTGGCAGTCAGCGTGATCCTTTCGCAGAAGGCTTCCGTTCCTCAGCACCAACAGGAGCATGTTTATGCTGTTCTGCACAGATGTCACATTGATGTGATGCAAATGAAATGTGCCATGATAATGACTCAACCATGGGATTTTTTCACAGAGTGCCCTACCTGTCAGCGCAGCTCAGGTGGTCGCGAACAGGAGGAGGATGATGAGCTGCAGCGTGCCATCAGGCTCGACACATCCTTTTGAGCCTCTGAGTCACGCGGTGCCCCTGTCACACGGTGACCAGCAGGAATTGCATCACAACTGCAGCCTGTAATGTTGTCATATGCCAGCTTCCCTGGCAGCGGGATCGAATTGGCCTTGCATTTGCATTGCTCTAGATGTTACTTATTGACGGATGACGGGATGCCAGTCCAAACTTTCATCATTGCCCTCAGATCCGTGAGGAATGCTTGGTAAGAGGGCGACCATAATCAACAGTGTGCAAGAGCCTTGTTGGTACTAGGTACTGGGGCTGAGTCGTTCCTTGTTGTCTGAAGTCATGCTGCAGGCAGATGTACTTAGGGATGTTCCTTTACGCCCATTGCCTCGTACATGTTTTTCTCACTTTTTTCGTGTGACTTGCAAGCAGGTGTACTTGGGCATTCCCATCTGTGGTCATAGCGTTGTGCATGTCTCCATTTCTGCTTGTGTGATTTACTCGCTAACGTGCGCGAGACCACCTCGGCAAAGTGTGGTTAAGGCGCGAGAGCACCGCCCCCTGCCTGGCTCTCCCTCCCCTCCCCCGACCGACCCTTGTTTTCGGCCTCGCGCCCCACCAGGATTTTGCATTTCAGCCCCACCCGCAAGCCTGTGCGGAACCCAGCCGACCAGCCAAACTCCCCCTGCCCCCCCTAGAAGCCGAAAAGAAGTTCAGACCCCTACACCCGAAATCGTGCGCATTGGGAGAGGGTAGCAGGAGGGTCGTGCGGAGTGCTGTTTCAGAGCATAATTGTTTGTGCACCTGGCATTTTCACCTTTCACGCGCATGCGTCTAATTGGAGGGTTTCCTCTCAAGGCGCAACCCATTGCCTTGGGCCTTGGCGTTTTTTTCAAACTCTGGTAGCGTGCTCTACTTTTTTAGAGGGGCAGGCCTGATGGAAGTCTGCCCGGCCTGGCGTGGACCTTGTGCAGCACCATGAAGTGGACCGACATTAACAGTAATTATGAAACACTTTTTGGGTCCACTTCATCAACATGTCGCATGCCATGCAAGGCTTTTTGCTGCAACGCCGATGCTTTAGCAGCGTGTGTACATGGGGTTTCATAGTTTCCTGTCATGAGTTCGTACGATGCCTGAACAGGAGACGTACCCGAGGTGATTTGCATGAATGAACAAGATGACATGAGGTGAGCTAGGTCAGTTTGACCGACAAGTCACGTGCCACATGCCATTTTTTGGCTGTTGTAAGATCTGCTTTCGATAGCACGTGTACATGGCGTGTCATAGATTTACTGTAGATGAAAGTTCAGAACAGGCAGATAAGCTACGAATTCTTCATCCTGCGAAGAGCCCCTTCGCACATGTGCAAAGCCATGCAAAGACAAGACCAAATGACAACACATGTGATCATGAGCTGCGCTGGCAGTTGTGCAAAGCAGAGCATCGATACTTGCCTTGCTGCTCGTTGTTGTTCGCTGATGACGAGAATACTCACACATTATGACACATTCTCGTGGCATTCCTCGCTTCAGTTATCTGGTCTCACCAGGCTGTCGGAGCAAACGGCTGAATTGGAGCAGCAGCGCCGGCTGCGTCAGTTCCAGCCGGCCTGCAACCAAGCCTGCATCACGTGTGAGTCGACTGGGATAGTATAGGAGTGCGTAGCTTTTCAGATGCAAGGACATGGATGATGATGCTGCCCTTCACGCCGCACTTGCTGCTTCAAGGCCTGAAGATCTAAAGCCCGCATCTTGAGCTCAGACGGAAAAAGCTGCTCTACTTCAGCAGGTCTGATGCTGACGCGCCGCGAGTGCGCACGTCTGTTATGTAGGTTTGCATATGTTTGCATAGAGTTGAGTGGTGGGGTGGCCGAGCTCGAACCAGAAGGCGTACGGCTAACGCATCCAGTGACATCATGAGAACCATTTCCCACGCCTCAGCAATGCTTGTAGTTTCACTGCGTCAAGCCAAGTTGCCAATCCAAATGTTGGCTCTGGCTTTTTCAGAATGTGCCAGAAAAAAGGAAGGCAGAACAAAGTCCTATTCGCACTTGCTGTGCGAGCGGGAGATGCCTCCGAGGTGTTGTTTTCGCGCACCGCCTGTACAGAGAGCGCTTTGGGCAGAGTCTGAAAGCTTTCTTGGTTAAGATCAGGTGTAATTACCTCGTGGCATCAGGTCAATGAGTGTCGTTGGCTACGTAGAAGCTACAACTCCCTTCTCAGATCGAGAGATATCGAGTGTACGTACCGACTCCCCGCAATCAACAACACGTGTTTGTGAAGAATCGTTGCATGCTTACAGAAGCTGGAAGCCTGGCACGGCACTGAACCGCTGAACGTCGAATGTTCGAGCCCAAGAACCACGAAGAGTTTTTACTGAGGATGGTAAGGTCCCACCGATAAGAAGCATGATTTGTGGAAGCATTCACTGCATTTTCACATGCAAGCACTGCTTATCTGAAACCGGGAAAGCTTCTTGATACAGACCTGTTGGGAGCGACATGCCAGACACGGGCCAAAAAGTTCACAGTGTACAGGAGGGAAGTGGCCTGCAACGCGCTCGATGAGCTTTTTGACAACACAGAGTGCTCACAGGCCTTGATCGAAAGCATCTCCACAGTGTGCCGACGAAAAGAACACCCAGCCATGTCATGCGCTTGGCGCAAGTGCCAGCGTTCTGGCTTTGCACTTTGACGTGCATGTCATGAGTTATGTATAGCCTCAGATTGTAAGTTGCGAAACGAATCTTGCAGGAAATTCAGACTGAGACTGAGGCTGAACTTTTACCACATGGCCGCGCTCTCCACTCACGAGGACCTAGAGGTGAGAGTACCTTCGTGCCTTGACTGCGCCTTCAATCCATTTGAGACCAAGGTGCAGAAGAAGTACCTGGAACATGAACACTGCATCTTGCCAGGTGCTCAGGCTGATGTTATGCTGGCCAGGCCAAACTTCGGTCAGAAACATTGTTAGATGATGTTAGACGTAGGACTCTTCAAATGTGCAGGAGTTGAGTGCGATCATGTTCCGCGCATCATGTCTTTGCAGCATTTTGCATCTGCAGATGCTACCAGGCCAACGGCAATCTAGTGCCTCATAGTTAGGAGGAGAACTGCATCTTTGTTCCTGCCTGGTTCTCGAGTGGGCGCATTTCCACAGTGGCAGCAGAGCTCAAGATCAAAGCTGTGCACCTGATCCGCCTGTTGATTTTTTGCAGCGCAGAAAACTTACAAAAACCTGCAACTTGAGCAAACCTCGTGGGCCTTCGGCCTAACATTTCGTGGAACTTGAACTGTACAACAAGCGGCGCCAAACGGATGCTTTTCAGCATCAGCTTGACTGCTTTTAGGCCCTGAATGTCCAAAAGATGTACTTGATTGTTTGGTTAGGCAGCTGTTCTATCCAGAAGAGGCGGGCTTGCAACACAAATGATTTTGCCCATCCAAGACACTGTCATAAGACATCATCACATGGTGCCAGGCTGCTCGACAGGACGCCGAGATCATGGCATTGGTGGGTCCCTTAAACAAGAACGCAGGCTTGGTTGCATGAGGCAGAGGGTTACTCAATCTAATTTCTCGAGGTTTCTCGTGTTGCAGACAAGGTGCAGCGCAACGGCCCAGTGCAAGGTATGGATTCCACCCCAAAACAAGCTCTTGCGGAAATGGACTGATCGAATTCACTCCACAAGTGAGCATGCGAAAAAATAGTTCAAGCCCAAAGAAGTAAGCTTCCTTACTGGGAGGGGTGGTCTTCGGGATTTTGCTAAATAGGATATGCATGAATTATATTTTAGATCAGATAGGAATATTAGGAAACATAATTAAACACATATTTTTCGAATATTTCGCTGCTGAACAACTCATTTTGAACATTGATTACTTCTAAGCCCTGAGAAAATTTCATATGAAAATGCAAAGCCGGTTGCCGTGAATTTATTTGTCTCTAATGCTATTAATCTCATGCTCTCTAAAAATTATTTGACTATGCATTGATCGGCTTTGAATATATTAATCTATTCGTCGAATTTTATCAATTTTTCTATTGAAGGGGATTTCTGGAAATATTAGCAATTTCATGATATCGGATTTATGATTTTATGATTTGAACTTAGATATATGATAATATTTTTAAGAAGGATATTTATACGAAGAAATTTCGAGATGATTTTATTTTATGAATAGATTTTTCTGAATGATAAAAGATTGATAAACTATATTGAAAGATTTTTAGATTTTATGGAATAAGAATATATTATATTGGATATAAATTAAAATCTTGATGATTTGGAATTTCTGAATATCGATTTTGATTTGAAGATGATGAAGATATTGAGAGATTTCTTGAAAAATATAATATTTATTATTGATCGATATATTTATATGATAATTATTCATTAGAGGGATGAGACAATATTTTTTTCTTATTGAGATATATTTCAATATTTATCGTTTATCTATGAAAATTCTTCAATATTGATATACGATTTTTACGATAATTTCGTCCGCGCGTATAATTTAATTTTTCTAGTGCATAATTTGCGTCTTCGCTAGAGAGGCTAAATTCTCTGAGATTATAGAATTTTTCGAAAAAGATAGGTCTCTGAAATCTTCGAGATATTCAAGGCGGCAATGCGATTAAATATATCGGAGATTTTTTTGGTCGTGCGCCCTCTATTTCTGGAGCGATCTTGCGCGTGATTTACCTATTTGATGGGGCGCACGATTATTCGGCGGAATATATAAAGAAAACTTAAATCTTTCAGATTTTGTAGAGCGATCGCATCTATATATTTAGATTTATGGGATCTTTCGATTCTCCGTACAACTAGCTCAAGAGAGATAAATGAGCCGGCAAGATTGGATTGGATACGGGGGGGGGGGGTCGCACCCTTAAAAAGAATTTGAGATAAAATCTTTCAGCTTTCCTCCGGAACGGTCTTCCGCATGATTTCTTTCTCTTCAGCTATCTGGTCTATATCCGAGACGGTCATCTAATCTTTCAGGATTCTTTCATTTCTAGATATCGTTTTTGAAAATATAACGCATAGGTTATTAATTTTTGCGTCGACGATGTTCTCGATAGCTTTGAGCTTACGTGCCTTAGCCATGGAAATTTCCAGCCTGCATGACTTATCCGCATTATACGATCTTGCCCAATTATCACGCATTTGTGTCTGAATTAGCTCAACGAATCCCATAATTCGAAGATCCGTATCATTGGCTGCCTTGAATCATCATCAATAGATATTAGCGATCTCCATCTGACATTAATTGACAAATTAAAAAGAAAATTATTTCAAAATGCTTCTGAATTTATCAATACATTCACTAAACTCAATCCACGCAATCCGCATCCCGTCCAAGGTCCTATCCCGCAACGCAAGACAATCAACTGCTCCACGCGAAACCAACGTCGCCTCAAACGAACCAAGACTGAAATAATAATGCAGAATCAATTTTCAGATAATATTTGGATTCAGATCCCGATATTCTCCCCGAAGATTCCATCTCGGATACGTCCCCAGCCGACGTCCAGAGATGCACCCCCAGAGAATTTTACCGCTGACTCACAGGCAGCCCGCGGTATACAATTCACGATGATTGCTAGACGATACGGAAAATAATTCTCGCAATGAATTCGATTGGGGTAAAGAGAATTTGAGCTGAGATAAATTGAAATGCATACGCAAGCCAATCAATTTACAAAGAAGTTCATATATTATGAATCTTCATTCTCGGCAGGCCACCCAGCAAGATATATCGGGCAGACCAAAATGGGATTACGACTCCAATCTCGCAGATCAGCACCCCCACGTCCAGTAGCCCAATCGCAAAAATATACGCAAACCAGCAATCCAAACCCAGACTCACTTCGCCGGTCCAAACCGCACCCAGCTTGCATGCACGTGAACATGTGTGCGTGGATGTTTGCATGTGTGTAGATATGTGTGCATATATATAAGCAAGTGTCTAGGTATTTATGAATATATAGTCATATATATAGATATATATCTTTATATATATATATACGTATATATGTATGTATGTATATATGCATATATGTATGTATGTATGTATGTATGTATGTATGTATGTATGTATGTATGAATTTAT